AAAAGAATTTTTAAAAACCCAACCAAATAAATGAATAATGTTGCAAAAGTACACAGAAAATGTCTGGCATGGTGGCACACCAACCCCAGCACTCGGGAGGCAGATGCAAGTGGATCTCTATGAGTTCAAGACCATGTAGGCATGCACACAGTACAAAGACATACATGCAGGCAAAACGCTAATATACATTAAATAAATAGGAGTTTTAAAAAAACTGAAAGCAAAAAGAAGGTTAGGATCTTCGAACAGTCCAGCCCTAGTTCCGGCCACTACTTCAGCAGTGAAGAGAGCACACATTCCTTTCTGGTGTTGTCTAGGAACTCTGAGGTGTCATGAGGTAAGCCTGGGGCAGGGGCTTTTTCTGAGGGTAAGCCAGGATGAGCCAGGACACAAAGAACTTGGCAAAGAAAGTACCACAAAACATTTCACAATCCTTCTCCGCCAGCATGACTTCTGGCATGAACAGAAACTTACCATGATGAGCTCTCACAAGCTTATGACTTCACAGTGGTCCTCTGAAAAAGGCAGTCTCCACCCAAGGTACCCTGACACAATTTAAGTTACTTTAGCTCAGATCACAGACATCTTCCCAGAAGTGAAAGAAAACTGTCCTAACGAGGTAATGCAGACCAGTGGGGAGGGGCCTGAGAAAACTTGTTAAAACCTCACAGTTTCAGCCAGGCATTGGTGGCACATACCTTTAATCCCAGAGCTAGTGAGGCAGAGGCAGGCAGATCTCTGAGTTTGAGGCCAGCCTGGTCTACAGATTGATTTCTAGGACAGCCTCCAAAACAATTCAGAGAAAGCCTGTCTCAAACAAACAAACAAACAAACAAACAAAACCTCACAGTTTGATTTCTAGGAACCCTGAAATAAATCAATTAACCACAGGGATTTCCTCAAATCAAATCATCAGCCACAGGAGATGATTTAGGTCTAATTTCTGATCCTGAGTTCTAATTGGGGACACAGTTATAAAAAATCGACTATAACTCTCTGGGACAGAAGCCGGGACTCACAATGTACAAAAGATTGAAAACTGACTGAGGCTGAACATGTATGG